CCTCATTCCCCTCTGGTTACTCCTTACATTCCTTTGTGGATTCTTCCTCTGCCACCCCTTAAATGCTGATCTTTCCCAGGCTTTTTCTTGTTCTATATCTTTTCCCTAGATCATCTCATCCATCCCCATGGTTTTATCTAACTGTGCTGTTGACTCCCTAATCTTTATCTACAGCCCCAGACCTCTCATCAGCTCGGAACTGGAATACTCAATCATGACTAAACATATAGGACATGTTGAGTCCCCAGGTACCTCAAAACCAAGCTCCGTATGTCACAAATTCATCTCCCTTACTCAAAACTGCCCCTCCTCCTTGATCCAATCTACTACCGCCATGTTGGTGGCTCAGACATCTATTCATACAGTTATTTAGACCTGAAACCTGAGGGTCATTCTAGACTCTTCATTCAACCAGTTACCAACACTGTGAAGTCTAAGTGTGTATCTGGTATATCTTTTCTTTATGTTAGTGCCCCATATTAGTGCAGACTGTCCAGCATCTCTTTTTTTTTTAACTACTTAAATAGCTTCTCAACTGGTCTCCCTGCCCCTCAGCCTACCCCCCTTTAATATGTTCTCAACATTGGTGCTAGAATGATTTTTCTGTAATGCAAAACAGATCACATCACTTCTCTGCTTTGAGCCCTGTCATGGCTCCCCACAGCATACTGGTAGAGTCCAAGATGCTCCACATGACTTACAAGGCCTTTCACAACTTGGCCCTGCCTACCCTTCTGGTCTTATTGAGACAGGGACCATGGGCTTAGACAGAGTAGGAAGAGGGCCTCTGGAAAAAACAAAGCAAGATAATCCATTGTGGGATTTGCTTTAGCCTGCTGTGGGGCTCAGCTTATTTTTCTTTTCTTAAAATTTTTTATTAAGGTATGATTGAGATACACTCTTATGAAAGTTTCACATGAAAAAACAATGTGGTTACTACATTCCCAGCTTATTTTTCTAACTTTACCCAGGTGCTGCTTTTCTTCCTCCAGCCCTAAACAAATAATTTTCAACCTGGGCAATGTAGCAAGCAAGCCCAAAACAACATAGTAAGAACAGGAAGGAATCCATCTTGAAAATAAGATTGCATCTTAAAACCCAGTTAGTTAAAAAGTAAGTTTCTTAACAAACAGACAATAACTCAGCCTACCTTGGGAGCAAAGCAGGCAGTCTTGAGTGATGTGCTCCCAAACCAGGAAGCTGCTATCCTGGGAGGAAATCAGAGCAGTAAAATTCTTGTAAATAACCAGGAACACTAATAAGAAACTTACTGTTTCTTCAAAGGTAAACATTTTGGGACCACTTGGCAAGTGTACATCCCTAGCCCTTTGTCTCTCAACCGTCCATAAAACCCCTAGACAATGCAGCACCCCGGGACTCTCTTGGGCCCCTCCTGGCCTGAGCCAGGAGCTCTGTCCTTTCGCTTTCTCTCTAAATAAAAGCCTCTGCCTTGCTCTCCTACCTTGAGTATTTGTGAAGTTCATTCTTTGACTCCACGAACAAGAACCCCGGCATCATTTTCTCCTATAATCCTTCCCTTATCCTCTTGCCCAAACAATATCAAACTGAACACCCCATCAGGCCTCCATGCCTTTGTATACACTGTTCTCTCTGCTTAGAATGAACCCTTGTCTTCCAGTCAACCTTTATTCAGCTTTCAAAATAGGACTTAGAGTATGTCTGGATAGATACATAAGAAACTAGTAACATGATTTGCCCCTGAAGAGAACTGGGTGTTTAGGGCACAAGGGTGGGAGGCAGTCTGTATTTTACACCATAAATCTGAACTGGTTATTCAAAAAATAAACACAATGTGGTCATTTTTTGAAAAGGACTCAGGGATCATGTCCTGTAGAAAGTTATCTCCCATCTTTCCCCTCTGTAGTTTTTTCTCCCTTCTGTGTGCTCCCTCTGGGTCTAGTATGTGCTCCTTCAAGCAGAATAATTACACTGTGTTGTGATTTAATTTCTAAGTTGTCTGTTTCCCCAGATTGTAAGCTCCTTGAGGGCAGGGGCTGATCATTTTTCTTGTTATTTCCCCAGAATCTAGCACAGTGTTCCCTAAATGTTAATTGAATGAATGAAGAAGTGAGTGAAGAAATCAATGAAATATGGGATGCCCCAATTATTAAACAGGCATCCCAAGCCTGTGCTCTTTCCAGATCTCCCTCACTCTGTCTTCTTGCCATGTGTTGTATCTAAAAATAGTACTTTACAATTACTGTTAAGTATCATCCATCATCTTGTCAGTTTGGATTCAGCAACACCCAAGCTTGCCGAGATACTTTCCAAGTCCCTCCTTTGTGTCACTGCAAACTTGATATGTATTTATATGTTCCATTCTGAGTTTCTGAATCGCAGAATTGAAATAATTTGTGTAATATCTGCTGTTTATTGAACATCAACAGTGTGTTAAACACTGTGCTAGGTGCTTTTACATATGACATTGTCACAGCATTTGCTGCAAGGTAGGTGTTTTGATCCCCAGTTTATAGATGAGGAAACTGAAATCAGTGTGGTTAAGCACTTTGCTCAGGATCACATTGCTAGTAAGTGGTGAAGCTGAGATTTGAACTGAGTTTTTTTTTACTTCAAAATTCATGTTTGGTTCGTAACACTACACTTTATTAAAAAGGGCCTCTCCACTGCCTGACTACTAGGCAAAGGGGTCTCCAAGATTGGCTTGAACCCCTAGTTTTCATTCTTCTACTGCTTAGTGCTCATTGCTCCCCAAGACAGCCTATTCTATCTTTGGGCTGTTCTGGCTGTTTTAAATTTTAAAAGCTCTTGTTTGTAGTAAACCAAAATTATAAATGAGTTGAACAAGACAGCCAAAAATAGAGCCTTTTGACTCACTGCTAAAACCTCCCTTCTAGTCTGACACCAAGCTATGCGTTTGTTCAACTAGTTACAGACTCATCTCAACAAACAGCAAAGCATCCAGCCTATATTTTGCCATCTCGTCTGCAAGGAAATTATGGGAAACTTCACCCAATACCTGAATCAAATGAAATCCACTATAGCTATCATATTCTATGATCTGCCAATCTAGTAACCAGATTTTAAAAAAAAGGAAATGAAGTCTGTGAGGGATATTTGTTTTTTAACGGGGCAATTTGTCAATGACTCAAAGTAATGCATTTCCAGTGGCAGACTTTTAGACTCATCGACAGGCTGTCGGGAAGATGGTTTTTGGGCAATGTGCTTCCTACTGCTTTCCAAATGGCATGTAAATAGGCAGGACCCCCCATTTTCACTGCTTTGAATTGTGCAGCACTGTCGGTTGCACCTGGTTTTATTTAGGCTTCCATTTTAGTTTTCTATGCTTTTATTTATTAATTTTTTTGGACTGTGTTTCTGCCCTTGCACATGTTTTCTGTATTTGGTTCATTCCCTAAATGTCTACATCTCCCCTACACACACACACACACACACACACACACACACTCCTTATCCTTTGAGAATGAGTGCATGCAGCCCCTCCTCTGGAAACCTTCCCTGATGCCGCCAAGTTGGGTAACTACTCCTCGTCCTGTGTGATGTAGTGGAAAATGCACACAATGCCTATCATGAAGTAGCTCTCCAGTGAATATTAGTTCCCTTCTACCTTTACCCCACATGTATCTCTAAAATAGTATTGATCACACTGTATTGTATTTTCTTGTTTACTTGTCTGGCTTCATCACTCACTTCTGAATTCATGTGTTCATTTATTCAATAGATACATTGCATGTCCAATGTGTGTGCAAGTCATTGTTTATGCAAGTGCCAGGGATGTGATAATTTCTGAAACTCATACCTTCACTGTGTCTTTTTCATTGTTGTATTCATAGCACTTAGCATAGTGCCTGGCAAATAAAAAGTGTTCATTACATGTTTGTTAAGAGAATGCATTTCCTTAGCAGGGTTTCTCCAAGTGTGGTCTTTGGACCACATACATCTGGATCAGTGAGGGGTGCAGGTTAAATGTTAAATGTCAGTTCCTGGATCTTGCTGTAGACTTAGTGAGTCAGACTCTTTTAAGGGTGGGTTACAAGAATCTGCATTTCAGTCTAGTTCTGCAGGTATTTCTTTCACAATAAAATCTGGGAATCATTGCAAAATGGGGGGGGGGAGCACTAATGCCTATTTCTGAAAAGTGTAGCTAAAACCAATTGTATCATTTTTAATGCCTCTGGCTGTAGTAGGAAAATTCAGTAAAGGGGAAAGGGCATTAGCTGAAATTTTCTGGGAAGGTTTTAAAAATATATTTAGAATATTCAAGTAATTAAGTGAAACTTCTTCTAAAGTCTAAGATGACAAGTGGAATTATTGCTAAGAAAATCTAATCTTAATTTAGGTCAAATTTATGATGCCAGAGAGTTTTTGTTTTTATAGAGCTTTGTCTATACTTGATAGTATATGTAGGGAATCTTTGTCTAACCTAACAATATATATTGTTATATATGTATATAGATTACCATATTATACACTTGAATCACAAGTTAAATTATGAGAGAATACATCACAACCATACCTGTGCTTTGACCCTGATTATAATATGATTTATCTGATACCTAGTCCGTGATCAAGAAAAGAATGATAGTAGTGCTCATTCTCCATGAAAATTTCATCCATTTTACTGTTTTATGCCATATTTTCCAAGAGCATACTGCTATTAAATGTATTCGTTGGTAATAGATTAGGTATGTAAGATCTAAGTCAATCAAAGACAACATAACTTCCCTTTCCCTAGGAAGACTTGCAAAGCTGGATTTTATGATCATGTTCCTGGAGCCTGGGACTTTCCATTTGGGATTTGCCTTGACATGATCCTCATGGTCAAGAACTGAGGTGTCTATGCATCTGGGTGCAGACCTCTTAAATATACACAGGTTTGTATCTCTCTTTCCTTCCCTATAACTTCACTTTAAAAAAATTTTAATTTAGGGTTTGCTGGTGGTTTCACTGCTGCCACGGTGGATCACAAATTCCTTCCTTCATGGTGCCCACTGTGCACCATGTCCAATGACCTGAGAATTCTGCAAAGTGACTCCTCCCTGATGCTGAGTGAGTACTGGGACCAGCAGCAGTTCAGTAGTGCTAATGATGAGCGTGAGAAATTACTAAAGGAGAGCTTACATTGTACGTGGGGAATCTTTCCTTTTAAACAACTGAAGAGCAAAATACATGAGCTTTTCAGTAGCTGTGGTGATGTCAGGAATACATGTATGGGCATGGATAGAATAAAGAAAACGGCAGGTGGTTTCTGTTTTGTAGAATACCATTACAGAGCTGATGCAGAAAATGCCATGTGGTTCCTAAATGGGACCTTCCTAGGTGACCGTATTATCCACACTGATTGGAATCCAGGTTTTAGAGAGGGCAGACAGTATGACCACGGTCATTCTGGGAGCCAGTAAAAGATGAGTTTTGTGAAGACTTTGATAATGGTAGGGGAGACTTTGGAAAACAGGTTCAGGCCTGTAAAAGGAGAATAATCCACTAGTGAAAACCCTGTAGCTCGATCCCTCAAAAAATCCGTTAAAGAACAATACCAGTTTCAGCAACTAGCCCATTTTGTTGCAAGTTTAAATTACGTTTTGTGTTCCACCAAAACCTTATTGATGTATTTTTCTTTCTTAAACATTAAATGGCACAAACAAAAGCATTTTTTGTTCTTTTCTTAATTTTAAAGCTGGTTGTCAGATTACCAGTTTGACCATCAGGTGGCAGAAAGTGACATATTCTTCAGGAATAAATCATGTATGTAAGATTTGAGTCAACCAAAGCAAAACTTCTCCTTTCAGAAAGACTTCAGTTGAAGTTTATGACTTTGTGCCCAGAGTCCAAAATTATCATTTTTCAGAACTTGCATGAAATAAGGTCAAATAGATTTTTAAAAATTATCAAAAGAATACAAACACAGTATTTCAAAACTAAAAAAAATTTTTGAAAAGTTTATAATGAAAACAAAAATCCTCCTGCCCCACCTCTTCCTACCCCAGGCTTTTTCTCTGGGCAATAATTTTTCATTTGTTTGTAGTTTTTAAGTTTCTTTCTTGGTAGTTTCCTCCATATTTCTAAATAACATGACTGGTTTAAGAATCCAGGCTTAAGCTAATCAGAGGTTGACAATTCTGTGATGATAGTTGTTATTAATTTCAAATGTGGACAATGATCATTGGGGACTCCAGTAAGATTGAAATGAAGGATTTTTAGTTTATGCTCAAAGGAAAGATTGTCTCTCTCCTTCCCACTGTGTGAATAAGCATGTATATAGTGATTGCTACAAGCAGCCTTCTTAGAACTACAGGAGAAACCAGCCCTAGGATGAATTAGACACTTTAGGTGGTGAGAAGAAGGACCAAATAAACTGTGTCCTTCATAAAATTATCTAGCTACCAAATTAACTTATTTTGCAGCACACTCCTCTATGTCTGGAGACCTATTATGTGAGATAATGCATTATTTTATCATGTGAACCAACTTGTTAACATGCACTTGAAAGCACTTTGATACTACATAGTTTTTCTTAATTTCATTCTTGTGTGAAGGATTTAAATTCCTCCCTCCTGAGACCAAGCATACATCTTCAGGGTTCATGGCCTTTAATCTGGAGAGTTAGATAAAATCGCCTGTTTATCCCTGACTCCTTCGCCCTTGACCTGAGGTCATCCTCTCTGATCAGTAGCATTCTTTCCTGAATAGAGAAGGAAAGGGAATGTCAATTTTTATGGAATGACTGATTATATCCTGGGCTGGGCACTTTGCTAGAATCTTTAAAACACAATCTCATTTACTCTTAACAACTCTGTACCTATTACATAGGAAGGAAATACGATCAAACAGGTAAGGTCACCAACTAGTAAGTGGCAGAGCTGGGGTTCAAACCAAGGAATTTTATGTCAAACTGGTGCCCTTAATCAAGGTACTCTATTGTCTCTTTCCCTTACCTTCACTCAGGCCACTAGGTCCAAACCTGTCTTTGATGTTCTTTTTTCTTAGGAAATTATCCCACTGACTACATCGTATCTGAGTTCTCTCTCCCCCAAGCAAGCTTCTCAAGTGTGTTCTTTTTTGTTTTGACATTTAGGATCACTCCACATCTAATGCCACCCAGCCATATTTATCTTTACTCTCTATTCTCTAGGAGAATAAAGGAGCATCTGACATGCATTTCTGCCTAATTTACATACTCTGCATGCAGCAACGGAGTTGCTAACTTTTTTAGCATTTCCCCTTTGCAGCTTCTTTAAAATAGAAAAAAACTTTTTTTTTTGAAGCAGAGTAAAAGTTTTATTTAAAGTTACTTAAAGAGAGAAAAATTGCAGGCGACCTCAGGGAGGAGAGGAGCCCTGAAAGGTTGGAGAGAGAAAGTTTAAGGTAGAAGGTTAGAAAGTGTGGGTGACTCCAAAGAGAGGTGCGCCTAGGAAAAAACTTTTTAAAGTCATGGGAATAAAATTTTGTTTTTAATCAGAGAATGTTTCTGTAGTATACTTTGGCATGTCTCTCAACTACCCCTCTTAGTGGCTCCCCACATGGATTGCTCCCAAAGATGCCTTTTCCTAGGCTCAGAAAAAGCATTTAACAATGTCTTGTGAAGTATACTTTTGGTTAAGTAAAGGAACTTTCATACTGTATGGCTAGAAGACTCTTTCAGTAGTTCTTGCAATATGCCCATTCTTCAGAATCTTGCTGGATATATCAATAGAAAAAAGGATTAAAAATCACATGACCATCTCAATTGACACAGAAAAAAAACATTTGTAAAAGTTCAACACCTATTCATGATAAAAATGCTCAACAAACTAGGAATACAACAGAACTTCCTCACTCTGATAAAAAGGCATCTATGAAAACCTCACAGCTAATATCATAGTCAATGCTGAAAGACTGACAGCTTTTCCTGTAAGACCAGGAACAAAACACTTTTATTCAATATTGTATTGGAGATCTCAAGCTAGGACAATTAGGCAAGAAAATGAAAAAAAAAACATTTAGATGGGAAAAGAATAAGTGAAAATATATTATTTGCAGGTTGCATGATCTGGTATAAATAAAATTCTAAGGTGTCCACAAAAAGGAATTATTAGAGCTATAAAATAGTTCAGCAAAGTTGCAGGATACAAAATCAATATACAAAAAATCAATTGCACTTCTATGAACTAACTAGCAATAAAAAATTCAAAATGAAATTTAAAAAGCAATTATACTTACAATAACATCAAAAAGAATAAAATGAAAATTATAACAAAAAAGCCCCAAATTTGTACTCGGAAAACTATAAAACATTGTTGAAAGAAATTAAAGAAGACTAAAATAAATGGAAGGATACTGCTGTGGTCATGGATGGAAAACTTCTTACTATTGTTAAGAAGGAACTATCCCCCAAACTGATCCATAGATTCAATGCCTTTCCTATCAAAAGCCTAGGTAGCTTTTTTTGGTAGAAACTGACATGTTGATCCAAAAATTCATATGGAAATGTAATATAATAGCCAGAATAATCTGGAAAGAGAACAAAGTTGGAAGACACACTTCCTGATTTCCAAATTTACTACAAAGCTATAGTGAGCAAGACAGTGTTATTCTGAAATAAGGATGGACATGTAGATTGATGGAATAGAATTGAGAGGCCAGAAGTAAACTCTCACATTTATGGTCAGATTATTTTTGACAAGGGTACCAAGACAATTCAATGGAGAAAGAATAGTTTTTTAAACAAGGTGCTGGAACAACTGGATATCCACATGCAAAAGAATGAAGTTGGACCCATACCACATACCATATACAAATATTAACTCAAAATGGATAAAGGCATAAAGAGCTAAAGCTATTAAAATCTTAGAAGAAAAGATAGACATAAATCTTCAAGACCTCAGGTTAGGCAATGGTTTCTTAGATATGACACAAACAACCAAAGAAAAAATAGGTAACTTGGATATCATCAAAATTAAAACATTCATGCTTCAGAGGACACCATCAAGGAAGTAGAAAGACAATCCACATAATGAGAGAAATATTTTTGTAAATCATGTATCTGATAAGGAACTTGTATCTAGAATAAAGAATTCTTACAATTTCAAAATAAAAAAACAATAGAATTTAAAAATGGGCAAAAAATTTGAATAGATATTTCTCCAAAGAAGAATTACACATGGTTAATAAGCACATGAAAAGATGCTCAGCATCATTAACCATTAGAAAACACAAAACAAAAGCACAGTGAGATACTTCTTCTTAAACACTAGGATAACAATAACCAAATACTCAGATAAGAACCAGCATTGGTGAGGATGTAGAGAAGTTGGAACCTTCATACATTGCTGATGGGAATATAAAGTGGTGCAGCTGCTTTGGAAATAGTCTGGCAGTTCTTGGAATGTTAAACATAGAGTTGTCATTTGACCCAGTAATTCTACTCTTAAGTATACACCCAAGAGAAATGAAAACATATGTTCACACAAAAACTTACATGCAAAAGATCATAGCACCACAATTCATAATAGCCTAAAAGTGGAAACAACCCACATGTCCACCTAGTGGTTAATGGGTAAAGAAAAGGTGGTATAGCCATACAGTGGAATATTATTTGGCTATAAAAAGGAATGAAGTATTGATGATAAATGTTATAACATGGGTGAACTTTGACCACATTATGCTGTGAAAGAAACCAGTCAAAAAGGATCACAGATTGCATGATTCCACTTATATAAAATATCCACACTAGGTAAATCCACAGCAGAAAGTAGATTAATAGTTGCCAGGATCCATGGAGGCTGGGGAGAGTGATCATAAGTGGGAATGAAGTTTCTTTTTGGGATGGTGGAAATGTCCTAAAATTGATTGTAGTGATGGTTGCACAACTCTGTGAATATACTAAAAGATTTAAATGGAAGATTTGTAGGGCATGTGACATATCTCAATAAATCTGTTAAAAATGACACTAAATAAAAAGCTTGTTGAAGATGGGCTCAGATAGGGAGAGTCAAGTTACTCTATTTTATCTGTGTCTCTCCTGGTAATATTGAAAAGTTCTTACATAAGACTTGCCTTTTCCACAACCCTACTTTCACTTCTAAACCATCTTCTTTCAATTTGTCTTCCTTGATGTGTTTTTCTATGGTGCTAGCACAGCCAACACCTTCCTTTGTAGGGAGGGGGGCTGTATATTTTAGTCAGGTATTTGGATTCTTTGTTGTATCCTATCCTAGAAGAGCTCTATCTTTGTCCAGGCAAGGATAGGGCACTGGGCCACTTTCTGATCTCAAATCAGAGATAACTGGAAAGAATACATAATGCTACCTTTAAGTCACCTCTCTGAAAGACAGTTTTCTCTGTCCGATTGATGCTCTTGGATTTTTTTTTGTATCTGGCCAATGAAATTTTCATCCTTATTCATTTTCCAGATTAAAAAAAT